ATATAAGTGATTATTGGGGAGATCTGATCCTATATATAAGTGATTATTGGGAAGATCTGATCCTATATATATAAGTAATTATTTGGAAGGTCTGATCCAATATATGTGATTATTGAGAAGATCTAATCTTATTTATAAGTGATTAAATGGAAGATCTATATATATAAGTGATTATTGGGGAGATCTGATCCTATATATAAGTGATTATTGGAGAGATCTGATCCTATATATAAGTGATTATTGGGAAGATCTGATCTTATATATAAGTGATTATTTGGAAGATCTGATCTTATATATAGGATCAGATCTTCTTAATAATCACTTATATATAGGATCAGATCTCCCCAATAATCACTTATATATAAGATCAGATCTTCCAAATAATCACATATATAGGATCAGATCTTCCCAATAATCACTTAAATATAGGATCAGATCTTCCCAATAATCACTTATATATAAGATCAGATCAGATCTTCCTAATAAATCACTAATAATACTTATATATATAAAGACCAATCACTTTATATATAGGATTCTTCCCAATAATCACTTATATATAGGATCAGATCTTCCCAATAATCACTTATATATAGGATCAGATCTTCCCAATAATCACTTATATATAGGATCAGATCTTCCAGATAATCACATATATAAGATCAGATCTTCCAAATAATCACTTACATATAAGATCAGATCTTCCTAATAATCACTTATATATAAATGAATATTGGGGAGATCTGATCTTATATATGTGATTATTTGGAAGATCTGATCCTATATATAAGTGATTATTAGGAAGATCTGATCTTATAGATAAGTGATTATTGGGAAGATCTGATCTTATATATACACACACGTAATATATAATATATTATTAAATGATCAGGTCATATATGTAGCATAAGGGATTGTGTTGGGAAGATCTGATCATATATACAATATAAAGGCTAATGTTGAGACCTTCTCATCCATGCTATAAGATGACTGTGTTGGGGGTAATCTGACCATATATGCTAAAAGACTGTTGGGAAGATCTGAGCCATATATTCTGTATAAATGTCTGATCATTTATTATCTGATCATATATACCATATAAGTCCCTTTTGGGAAGATCTGGCAATAAAGGTTATAGAGACGACTTTTAGAAAGACCTGGTCCAAAGCTGGCCATACATTATACAATTCTCTTGTACAATTTCATTTAGATTGACCTTCAGCTAGCTAGTGCATGCAAGGGCCTGTTTGACTGGATACAAATTGAGTGTTGTTAAGGTTTGACCTCATATTATATGTTTTTGGTAAATCTAAAGGAAGATTTTACAAAATAATTGTATAATGTATGGCCAGCTTTAGTTACTGTTGGAAAGGTCTGGTCATATATGCTACATAAGAGTGACTGTGTTGGGAAGATCTGGTCATACATGCTATAAGTGGCTTTTGGGAAGATCACATAAGCTATCCGATTACAATGATGCCATATTTACATTAATTTAAAAAACCTAACGATTCATCATTTTATAGAAAACATTTGCTGCACATCAACCGGAACATTGTATGAAAAAAGTAACCAAACTTTTATGGGGTGGTTTTTAATGGCATATATATATATATATATATATATATATATATATATATATATATATATAAAACCCGCCTGCGATTTGACATGATGTCATTTTGGTGGGCATCTTGTTTCCATTTTGTGTGGAGCCAGAAGCAGGTTACCATTGTATCTGGGTGGAGGTAGTTCGCAGCTGTCCAGAAATACACAGACCGACCTACAGATCACTGCAGGGAATCCATGGCATTACCTGGGGAAACCCAATAGAAAGGCCCCCGTTGTTTTACACTATTTTCAGGCTTGTGGGTCTATTAATGTACTATTTCTATGGCGCTGGATTCATCGATACATATTTTACAATGATGGGACTTGTCACACATACTCGATTCACAAAGCTTTACACAAGGATAAGGTTGGTAATTTAGCCACGTGACTGCGTTTAATCCCATTGGCTGAAAAATAACTGTCACTTCAAGTTTATGTATAAGTATCCTAATCCTATTGTGTTAGATTTGTGAAGTGAGCGTATTGGATGAAAACCTAAATACGTGATTATTGTCCTAAATGAGAGCATCTAATCCTTTATATAGACAAAACTCTCCAGAATGTGTGGAACTACAGATCCCTGCATGCCCTGCAGTATTTTTGCTTATATGGTCACATTTAGACTTGTAGTCCCATAATGATGGGATGTAAAGCTGCTTTTATTCTGGCAGCTCTGCAGATGACACTTTAGATTGCTAGCTCTAGCTCAAAGAAATTCTTGCTATTGGGCCGGGCCATATATGCATTGTGCCATGATGTTTATTGTATTACTGACGTGACATTTCTTTGTAATGAGGAGTCTACATTGTGTCATTTATTTTTGTTATACTGGACCTCCATTGTACCTTTGTGTTATGATGGATGTGCATTGTGCTACTGTGTTTTATATGATGACGGTTGTGCCATGCATTATTTTTTCTCATGGACCTGCATTGTGCACTTTATTTGTGTTCTGATGGACCTGCATTGTGCACTTTATTTGTGTTCTGATGGACCTGCATTGTGCAATGTATTTATTATGATGCTAGTGCATCCAACATGTATTTGCTTCGATGGACATACATTATGCAATTTATTTTTGTTATAATGATTGTGTATTGTAAGATGTGTTTGTTCTGATGGACCTACATTGTGTAGTTTCCTTCATGGTACCATTTATTATGATTGACCTGCATTGTCCCTGTATTTATTATTGATGGTCCTGCATTGTGCCCTGTGTTTATTATTGATGGTCCTGCATCGGTTCTGGTGTTTATTATTGATGGTCCTGCATCCTATTATTGATGGTCCTGCATCGTCCCCTGCATATATTATTGATGGTCCCTGCATCCTCCTCTGTATTTATTATTGATGGTCCTGCGTGGTGTTGTATTCATTATTGATGGTCCTGCATCGTCCCTGTATATATTATTGATGGTCCTGCATCGTCCCTGTATTTATTATTGATGATCCTGCATAGTCCCCTGTATTTATTATTGATGGTCCTGCATCGTCCCTGTATATACTATTGATGGTCCTGCATCGTCCCCTGTCTTTACTATTGATGGTTCTGCATCGTCCCTGCATTTATTATTGATGGTCCTGCATCGTCCCTGTCTTTACTATTGATGGTCCTGCATCGTCCCTGTATTTATTATTGATGGTCCTGCATCGTCCATCTCTTTATTATTGATGGTCCTGCATCGTCCCTCTCTTTATTATTGATGGACATGCATGGTCCCCTGTATTTATTATTGATGGTCCTGCATCGTCCCTGTATTTATTATTGATGGTCCTGCATCGTCCTCTGTATTTATTATTGATGGTCCTGCATCGTCCATCTCCTTATTATTGATGGTCCTGCATCGTCCCTCTCTTTATTATTGATGGACCTGCATGGTCCCCTGTATTTATTATTGATGGTCCTGCATCGTCCCTGTATTTATTATTGATGGTCCTGCATCGTCCTCTGTATTTATTATTGATGGTCCTGCATCGTCCCTCTCTTTATTATTGATGGACCTGCATCGTCCCTGTCTTTACTATTGATGGTCCTGCATCGTCCCTGTATTTATTATTGATGGTCCTGCATCGTCCCTGTATTTATTATTGATGGTCCTGCATCGTCCCTCTCTTTACTATTGATGGTCCTGCATCGTCCCTGTCTTTACTATTGATGGTCCTGCATCGTCCTCTGTATTTATTATTGATGGTCCTGCATCGTCCCTGTATTTATTATTGATGGACCTGCATCGTCCTCTGTATTTATTATTGATGGTCCTGCATCGTCCCTGTCTTTATTATTGATAGCCCTGCATCGTCCCTGTCTTTACTATTGATGGTCCTGCATCGTCCCTGTCTTTATTATTGATAGCCCTGCATCGTCCCTGTCTTTACTATTGATAGCCCTGCATCGTCCCTGTCTTTACTATTGATGGTCCCCTGCATCGTCCCTGTCTTTATTATTGATAGCCCTGCATCGTCCCTGTATATACTATTGCTGGTCCCGCGTGGAGTTGTGTATACATTATTGCTGGTCCCGCGTGGAGTTGTGTATTTATGAATGCTGGTCCCGCGTGGATTTGTGTATACATTATTGCTGGTCCCGCGTGGAGTTGTGTATTTATGAATGCTGGTCCCGCGTGGTATTGTGCGTTCCCTGGTCGTGCATCCATGCGGCGTCCCCTGTACTGGGATGGCTCCAGCCTCCAGCCGTCCGGGATTCCGGCAGTGGTGATGAGCGGTTTTCTTCTTCCTCTCCTGCGGTCACAGATGAGTGGGTTGTAGAGTGGAGCCCGGCTCGGTGTAATATTCCGGAAACGTTCTATAAATGGAGGGAGGCGGGGCCGGGTGGGCCCGGATTCTGCCCTTATTAGGTTAGACCCGCCCGGACCGGAATCTAAGGCTCCGCTATGTGTGCACCGATGATCCGCCGATCCCCTCCGTCCCCGGGCCCTCTCTCTCCTCCTGCCGCCCTTGAGCCCCTATACTCCCCGATCGCTCCACCGCTGACAACGAGCCCCATTCATCGGCCCGGAGAGCGCTAAGCCACGCCCACCTCCCCATTCATACAGCGGCAAGCCCAATGCAAATCCCCGTGACGAGTCAGGGGGCGGGGCGCCCTTCCCTGTTCCTGTCCTTATTTGGTCCGTGACGTCACGGGCATTCAAAGCTCCAGAATAAATACTTACAGCGAACACTTTCCATTTACTGCCATTGATTACCAGCGCGGCTCGGGAGACTTGTTAATAAGAACGGGACCGGCTCCGGGACTAATGACATCCCCGCCGGGGCTCCGCACACCCGCTGTCCCCGCTCACTGACTGTACTCAAACCGGACTCTGTGTTCTCTATAGCAGTCACCGCAGTTCTCCCCTCCGTCCGCCAATCTGGGGCTGTTACTGGATGAGATGATGACTGCTAAAACTGTAGACAAAATCCCACTGCCGATCGGGGGCTTCGTTCATCAAATGCCGGAGGCAATGTACCCGGTGGATGAGTCCGCTCTGCCGACCTCGGTCACCATCTTCCCCAATGTGGACCTGGGAGGACCATTCGATCAAATGAGCGCTGGAGGTAAGAATACCCCCCAGTCCCCCCATAATAATACATGGAGGGCAGGCTGGACTTTGACACTTCTCTTATTACTGATCTGCAACTATCCTGACAGTCATTACATTGTACGGAGGACCGGCTGATGGTCCTTACATTGTACTGAGGACCGGCTGATGGTCCTTACATTGCATTGAGGACCGGCTGATGGTCTTTACATTGCATTGAGGACCGGCTGATGGTCCTTACATTGTACTGAGGACCGGCTGATGGTAATTGTAGAGGAACAAGTATCCGCTAATAGATTTGGAGTGTTGAGTTACCTCCTGGTGGCCAGCAGAGTGCTGGGGACATTCTGATGACAAGTGCAGAGTGCTGGAGGGATGCTGATGGGAGTGATGGAGGACATGATGATGATGGCCAGTGTACAGGGCCAAGTTACATGCTGATGATAGTGGAGTGCTGGGCTCATGCTAATGATCAGTGAAGAGTGCTAGGTGCATGCTGACAGGAGTGCTGGGGGTCATTCTGAAGTCCCGTAGAACAGTGATAGGGACATGCTGAGACCAATAGTGCCGGGTTACCTGATGATGATCTGTAGAGAGCTGGAAACAATTTAAAGGTTACAATATCATAGGGATGATCAGTGGAAAGTGTTTGGGATCTAGGGATGATCAGTGGAAAGTGTTGGGGACCTGCTGATGATCAATGGAAAGTGTTGGGGACATAGGGATGATCAGTGGAAAGTGTTGGGGACATGCTGATGATCAATGGAAAGTGTTGGGGACATAGGGATGATTAGTGGAGAGTGATGGAGACATAGGGATGAGCAGTGGAGAGTGTTGGGGACCTGCTGATGAATAATGGAAAGTGTTGGGGACATAGGGATGATTAGTGGAGAGTGATGGAGACATAGAGATGAGCAGTGGAGAGTGTTGGGGACCTGCTGATGATCAGTGGAAAGTGTTGGGGACATAGGGATGATCAGTGGAAAGTGTTGGGGACATGCTGATGATCAATGGAAAGTGTTGGGGACATAGGGATGATTAGTGGAGAGTGATGGAGACATAGGGATGAGCAGTGGAGAGTGTTGGGGACCTGCTGATGATCAATGGAAAGTGTTGGGGACATAGGGATGATTAGTGGAGAGTGATGGAGACATAGAGATGAGCAGTGGAGAGTGTTGGGGACCTGCTGATGATCAGTGGAAAGTGTTGGGGACATAGGGATGATCAGTGGAAAGTGTTGGGGACATGCTGATGATCAATGGAAAGTGTTGAGGACATAGGGATGATCAGTGGAGAGTGATGGAGACATAGGCATGAGCAGTAGAGAGTGTTGGGGACCTGCTGATGATCAACTGAAAGTGTTGAGGACATAGGGATGATTAGTGGAAAGTGTTGGGGACATAGGGATGAGCAGTGGAGAGTGTTGGGGACATAGGGATGATCAGTGGAAAGTGTTGGGGACATAGGGATGATCAGTGGAAAGTGTTGGGGACATAGGGATGATCAGTGGAAAGTGTTGGGGACCTGCTGATGATCAATGGAAAGTGTTGGGGACAGGGATGATCAATGGAAAGTGTTGGGGACAGGGATGATCAATGGAGAGTGTTGGGGACATAGGGATGAGCAGTATAGAGAACCCAGGACCTGCTGTTGATCAGTGGAAAGTGTTGGGGACATGCTGATGATCAGTGGCGTTGTGGAGACATACAGGAGGCGTATCTGTCAGTGTTGGTGGTGTAGCTGTCAGTGACACATGGGTTGCAGTGATCAGATCTGATTCGTCTGTCATAGTAAAGTTCACAGACTTCTCTAGTAATACACAGCACTATTATCTGGAAGAATTCTCGGTGTTCCATCGTGGTGTGCTTACTATAGATCTATTCTTATAGATAGCAGTGTGTATGTATTTATTCATATGTGCAGATCTATAGATATCTATATATATATATACACACATACATACATACATACAAGTTATCTGTGTGTACCTATGTACATGTACTTATATATGTGTATATGTGTATGTTGCACAGAGAATTGTGGTCTGAATTCATCCCTATCAATGTCCCCCTGTCTGATTTGTAGATGGAATGATCAATGTGGACATGAACAGTGACAAGCGCTCCCTGGATCTGTCATACTCCAGCAGTTACCCCTCGGCCTCCCGGAACCAGACATTCACCTATATGGGCAAGTTCTCCATTGACCCTCAGTACCCCGGGGCCGGCTGGAATCAGAGAGGGCTTCTTCAACATCGTCAGCACCGGCATCCTGGGAGTAACCCCGTCGTCGTCTGCCTCCACCACCTCCTCCAGCATCTCCTCCGTGTCCCCCAATAGTCTGAGCTGCAGCATGGCGCATGGGCAGGCCGATATGGAGCACATGTACTCGCCCCCGCCGTACTCCAGCTGCGCGGAGCTGCCGGTCTACCAGGACGGTTCGGCCTTCCTCAGCACCGGTACCGCCGGCTCCCTGCCTTACCCTCCCCCGTCCTATCCTTCCCCCAAGGCGGCCTCGGACGGCACCATCTTCAATATGATCCCCGACTACCCGACCCTCTTCCCCCCGCAGTGCCAGAGGGACCTGCACCCCATGACTGACCGCAAGCCCTTCCCCTGCCCCCTGGACTCCATCAGGGTCCCCCCTCCGCTCACTCCCCTCTCCACCATCCGGAACTTCACCCTGGGCGGTTCGTCCAGCGCAGAGGGATCACGGCTGCCCAGTGCCTACAGCCCCCAGAACCTGCCCCTGCGGCCCATCCTCAGACCCAGGAAATACCCCAACCGGCCCAGCAAGACTCCGGTGCATGAGAGGCCCTACCCGTGCCCCGCCGAGGGCTGCGACCGCCGCTTCTCCCGCTCCGACGAGCTAACCCGGCACATCCGCATCCACACCGGCCACAAGCCCTTCCAATGCCGCATCTGCATGAGGAACTTTAGTCGCAGTGACCACCTGACCACCCACATCCGCACCCACACCGGGGAGAAACCCTTCGCCTGCGACTACTGCGGCAGGAAGTTCGCGCGGAGCGACGAGCGCAAGCGACACACAAAGATCCACCTGCGACAGAAAGAGCGAAAGGGCGGAGCCGCGGCCACACCTGGCGGCACCGCGGGGCAGGAGCGCCCCCTCAGTCTCAGTCCCTGCTCCGCGGGCTCCAACAGTGCTCAGATGGGACTGTGTCCGAGCAGGACATCCTAAGACACACTGCAACGATACAAGGCAATGTCGCTGCCATTCCGGGGCCAGTGGCACTAGACTTTTCACAGGATTTGGGACTTAGAACTGGAAAAGGTATTGCTGGCTCAGGGACTGCCTTCAAGACTGTGTTACACTAGATGGGGCAGAGAAGGGGATGCTTGAATGTCGCTCAATGTGGGGGAGGGGTGGGGGAGTCAAGGTTTACATTGTGTTTGGAGAGTAGTTCTATGTTCATCTACAGAAGAGGTATCCCAACCGCAGCCCTCAACTACCCACCACCAGGTCAGGCTGTGGAAAGTTCCCTTAGATCTAATAGCCAGGCTATTGTTGGAAAGTACCTGTGCCAAATGAAGGAAATCCTGAAAACATGACCTGTTGGGGGGAGGAGGGGGGGTCTTAGGGACTGAGGATGGAGACCACTGATCTACAGTATTTGCTCTGTATGTTACAGCACTGATCCTAGAGCATAGATTGCCACTGGGCTACCTACTGCTCAAGAGTCAGACTAGCACTACAGCTGAGGAATTCTGTCCATGAAGGCTTGGCCTGCACACAGGGGGCACTTTAATAAAGGCAGATAGGCTGCTCACTGTGCTAGGGAATTTTCCCTTAGCTTGGCGAGTTTGGTGCAATGTGATTTTGCAAAGAATAACCAATTCTGTGCAAGGATAAAATTATATATATTATACTATTAATAAATATATTTTTTATTTTTATTTTTTTTCTTGCACATAATTGAATGATGGAAGGCACTATAGCTTCACCTCATTCACCAAGCTAAGGGAAAGCTCCCTTGCAAAGCAAACAGCCCATGTGCCTTTAGTAAATCAACCCTAAAACAGTACTATTTAAAGACATTAATCTGCATAGATTTTTACTTTGTTACAGATAATAGGCTGAAGTCCCAAAGCCTTTACACAAGGATCTTTATTTTAGCCTGTAATTTGAAGTTATCATTGGATTCAATGGCAATGACGTATTTGGAAAACGATTCTTTATCCTTGTGTGTTAGCCTTGTGAACTAAGCCTTTGGTGTCGATTTAATAAAGGAGAAGAACATTAACTTTGCTGGGGAATTTTCACTTCACTTAGTGAATTAGGTGATGCTGTGCTGATTATAGTCATCCAATCACGGACATGCATTTTTTTTGGTTTTATTTCCCATGCACATGATTCAAAATTCCTTTCAGTGTGATTTTTCAGCGTATCCACTAAGCTAACAGAAAATCTCTTGCAGAGTGAACATGTTCTACTCCTTTAGTAAGTCAGCCCCTGTATGTATGGTATGCAGTGAAGACAGGCTTCCTTTGAGCCATGGTGTGTTACTTATTTTTTACTCGAAGGGCTTATATTATCAGCACGGTTTAAAGAGTAGTTGTCTGCCGCCCACAGGCCTGCAGTGCTCCGGCTGGCTGCAATGGGTTACAGTACAGCACTTTTCACTATGCTTTTATCCAAGCATCGAAGAGCTGAATGGATTCATGCTAGGTAAACTTTGTTTTCTTTGCTACTAACTGTATCTAATCTCCAGTGTGTTTTTTTTTAAATGTTTGTTTTGTTTTAAATTCCTGGCAATGTTCAGGAGAAGAGTTCCATGGTAACTTTGAAAGGTGTTTCCCATTGTCGAGATGCCAGAAGTAGCCATAACTCATGCACTTTATCCTTGTCATGACTGCCAGGAGCAGGCGGTGTGATATGAAGGGGTACATTAGAATCTCCCAACCTCATTTATTTTTCTCTATGACAACAATCTGTCTTTTAACCGGTACAGTATGACTCAAGCTGGCCATACATGCTCAGTGTTGGTTTAGTTCTAGTTAAACAATCCTTATTCCCAAAAATACAGTTCACAGCATATTCTAACTGACCAAAGGCAGTACAAAAAAGCAGCAAGCAGAAACCAGATTTCCCTTTCCTGGGGTCCAAGAGGTGAAAAATGAAATCTGATTGGTTGCAATGAGTTGCTACTCTTTGCTCTCTACTCTCTGTAAGAGTACTCATGGACTGTAGAAAAGGTACTAGGTACTGAACTGTCCAAGAGCAGTAAGGAAGATGTCTAATTTTTAACTCCTGCTTTGCTGCCCTAGAATGACATCTTTATCTGGGAACTCCTGGCTTGGATATTTCAGCAGTCAATTCAGCAGTTTACTCAAGTAAACCCATCAGTAAAGAAACATGGCAACGTTGAGCTGTATCTCTAAAAACATTAGGTGTTTGGATGTCATGCTGACTCTCTTCCTTCAAATATTCTAAATCTGTACTCTGGCAGATAAGGTTTGATTAGGACTTTCTCGGTCTACTTATGTTTGAGCCAAAGTATCAGGATTACAGCCAGTCAACTAGCATTTTCAGAAGTCATTCATATTAGGCACCCCCTGTCTTCCCATGACTTTATCTTTACATTATGAATATCTACTAGTAGGTATTCTTGTTCAACTGGACTTGTTCTATAATGCTGAAGACATTTCGTAGCTTATCCAAGCAGCTTCTTCAGTTCTAATGAGAATCAGCCCATCATTTACATCCACATAGGTAACCCCCAACACCTTGATGACCATTACCATGGAAAGGCAGTGTTACAGTCTACAGAATACGTCCAGTTGAATGTGACTTAACGACTTCTACATAAACCTGGATAAGTGAGAACCTTCATAGGTACACAAGAATCTTTTCTAAATTGCCAGATGGTACCAACCAATATCTATTTAATCAGCAGTTGTCCAACTCACCCAATGATGTCTTGCAGGAAAATGACCTGGTGTCGTGGTTCTTCTCGCTCCATGGTCAGGTTGTCATAGCTGTAGGAAAATAGGACTCATGTCATTAATGCATCATGAGACATGCTGCTGAAATATCCAGTGTACGGGTTCTGATTTACCATATTTTCATATAACATGTCTAACATAATAAATATCTGATCAACAATTTGTTAGTGTATGGCCACTTTAATACAAGTGCAATGAAAGTGATGCCAAATGTTCTGGTACTTTTATGTGCTTTGCCAACTTTCATTCTGCGTGTTTAGTCCATGTTTACTTGCAAATAGTCATTTAGATTGTTTATGGCTGAACTGCACTGCTTTCACAGAGCTCCAACTCTTGAAAAAAAAAAAATGAATAAGGTACACTTTGTGATTTATGTTATGTAAAAAGGCAGAGAGGTTAATTTATTTAAAAGGGATGTAAATAATCCTGTATGTCAGTAAAGCATGCATTGTGGTACAACAGTGTTCTTGGTGCCTTCCTCGTGTAATGTAGACAAGTGTCCTCAATGTCTGCATGTATATGCCTTATCGAAGACAAATATGGTCCCATGCCACAGACGCAGAGCTGTATATTACTGCCAGTTAATATTGGGAATTTTCTAGAATCTATATTTTTGTACGCACTGTTTTGTGACTCAAAAGTGTTAACTTTGTAGTACGAATTTTAAAGAAAAAAATAAATAAATAAATTTAAAAAAAATGTGTACAGGTGTACAAAAGGATCTCATTGGGGCTGACTTGTGTACAAATAACTCAAGATTGAGGTAGTGTTAACTTTATTAAAAAATCAAAAACAAAAAACAGCCACTAACTGGAATTGTAAAGGTTTATTGTAATCATATTGTCTGTAAATAAAAAAACTTTGAAATATACAAATGTGTTGTCTTGGATTCACTTTTATGTCAATTTCTGCAGAATAAAGAGACAAATTAAAGCTGAACTTTGGGATAATCAAAGATTGCCAAAATACAAGAGACATACACTGTATGGGGGAGATTTCCTAAAACTGGAGCACTCAGAATTTTGTGCAATGGTGCATAGTAGCCAATCTGCTTGTTCAGTTAAGCTTTAACAATAAAATCTGGAAGCTGACTAGTTTCTTTGCACAGCTGCACCAGTTTCTGCACACTCCAGCTTTAGTAAATCTCCCCATATGTATCCTTATTGGAACCTTGATGTGATTTGTGCATTTCTTCCAGATCTGTTCAGTAATCCAGTGTGAAACCTTTCCGCTGTACAAGAGTTTCCTGTAGTAAAGACTGGTCACTGCTGCTCTCTTTCTCCTTGTGCAGGTTGAAAGGTCTGGTCCCTGCCCCCTCCTATAGTTTTTCTGCATGCAGCCTGTAGTGAGTGGGCTTGCTACCCTCCCACAGCTCTGCTCAGGACAGTACAGCACAGTGATAATGTTTTGCTTCTTTAACAAGGTAATACCTGAGTTTGCAAAGGCATTCCATGCACATAAAGGGGTTGATTTTCTAAAGGCAAAATTTACTGTGCACTGCAAGTGCAGTTTCTCTAGATTTGAGGGGAAGCTCTTAAATGAGGAGAAGCTCTGCTGATTTCTATCATCCAATCATGTTTGCACAAATATACAGTTTTTTTTTATATTCCTTGCATTTGATTGGGTATTCTTTACAAAGTGAAGCTTTACCTCATTTACTAAGCACTGCAGCAAGTGCACTTGCAGTGCACAGTATATCTTCCTTTAGTAAATCAACCCCAAAGTGTTTTTACACTCTGGCTATTAAGAGATATATTGAAATAAAATGGTGTGCTCAGAGTTCAGCTTTAAACTTGAGGAACTGCTGAACTGATGTCACGGTATAACTGGGTGCAGGAGGGGTCATACCAGAACAGCAACCTCAAAACTCAATAGAGGACATGATGGTATACAACAGATCCCAATAATGATAGACCCTACATGGAGGCTGTACTCATCAGTTTTTGAATAAATATCTCCAGTGTGCATACAAGTAGCCTTACCCCCCTATATATCATCATGCAATGCACAAGCTATAGTAACTGATAAAGAGGACCTGTGTACTACATTTTGGTACATAGTAGGAGCTGCCCACATCTGACTTGCAGTCACCATTTTTGTATTGGCTTACAGCAAGAGTATAGGTTCAGGGGCCATTTTTCTAATAGTATTAGACACCCAGTGATTTATGCCAATTAGTTTATATCAGTTTGTTCTCAGCTTACAACTGACATATTCAGCTAAAGTTTTTTTTTT